GAGAGAGAGAGAGAGAGAGAGAGAGAGAGAGAGAGAGAGAGAGAGAGAGAGAGAGAGAGAGAGAGAGAGAGAGAGAGAGAGAGGGTACTTCCATCAATGCGATGACCAAAATCAAACGAATCTACGTGGTGGCATTGGCTGCATGATCAGGGTGTTCTTGCGGTCGATTCTACCGATTTTGTTCACCCTATCCACTGCCGTGAGGCCAGCTCCAAGGTTGAAGACTAACCCGTTCTCCCTTTCGCTCACACACACACACACACACACACACACACACACACACACTCTCCCTCTCTCTCACACACACTACAGATATATTCGTTCGATTTTGCTGATCCTATTAAAAATAAAAAAAAATAAGAAAATTTTGACTCAATCTTCCGCTACAATCTCTCTCTCTCTCTCTCTCTCTCTCTCTCTCTCTCTCTCTCTCTCTCTCTCTCTCTCTCTCTCTCTCTGTGTGTGTGTCTCTCTCTCTCCCCGACTGCCCTTCTTCGACACAACCTCACCAAACAGTGTCACAACAACAGCCCCGGCCCCCTGTTCATCCCTCTCCTCGGCCGCAGCATGCCTGCGGGGGGTCCACTTGTAAGAGTAAAGGATCCCCTAGGGTTGCGTTTCAACCCCCGAATTACAGTTGTCCACATAGAACGACACACATTATGACATCACACACACACACACACACACACACACACACACACACACACATCATCACACACAAGCACGCACACACACACACACACAATCAGCCTTTTGTACATCTTTTTTCTAAGCACTTTGTGCGTCTGAGCACCTCTAAGAAATGCTAAACAGTCTGTGGCGGGTCGTCTGGATTCCCTGTAACACTCTTCAGGGATGAGAGAGGGTACTATTCCATGGGTGAGGACAGACGTTCGTCCGAGTAGCTTCCTGGACTCAGCAGGTGGTGGGAACCAACAGTCTGCTGAGTTGGACTTGTCTGTGAGTAGGTGATGGATGGCTTTGGTCTGTGTTGGATGTGTGGACTGCCTTGTCTGTGCTCCTCAGCTGCCCTGCTGCCACCCGCTTGCCATGTCTTGCCCTGCAGTTTGTCTGTTTGCTGTAGTTTGGTTGCCTTGTCGGTTTTGCTTTGTAACAGCAGTGTCTAAGGCCAACACTCTCCCACACACAACCCACTCATATCCACACACACACTCACGCCCGTGTTGGCGAAAGACCCTTCTAATACCAACCCGGGGAAGCAAGCCAACTATCTCAGCTGGTTCATTCTTCTTTTTGCTTGGACCTCACCAGACCGGGCCCACCCAGTGTGGTATCTGGGCAGATAGAGCCAGTTCGGGGTGCCCAGGGACCAGCACAGGTTTGATATCTAATCTGTGGTCCATAGGTGGCAACATAACAGTATACAAGAGACTAAGAACTAGACAAATGGTACATCTGTTCCCGATCCATGGTAGCCACCAGATATGCTACAAATCTGCAGGAAATGGCAGATCGGTGGCAGATCCGCAGGAAATACAGACTCGGTTGCAGATGGAGGGCAGACAAGCAGGAATTTGTCCGGAAACGACCAGACAAGATGCAGCAAGCAGATTTGTCGCTGACCTGCAATAAAGAGATCACTCAGCAGCAAACTGATCACTGCAGCAAACAATGAGATATTTGCAAACAATAAAGCTCTAGACAAACCTTCAGCTGTATAAACTGCACTCGGCACCGCGCATCAATATCCTTGTAGGTTGGTTGTCGCAGTTCCATCTTGTTTCTTTCAATGTTTGCCTCATACGCAGCAACTGTCCCTTGTGCCTTATTAACCTGCAAAAAAAGGACAATACTGCTGAGTGAGAAGCTAGCTTGATACAGAAACAGCTCTGCAAAAGCGGCTTGGAATCAATGCTGTCATGAAGCACACACCTTCGCGCACATCCATGAAAGATCAGTAAGAAGCCAAATGTGGCTTCCAAGGAAAATCCTCAAGGACTAGAAAAAATACAGTCTTCTTTCCAAAACAAGTACATGAAGGAAAAGGAATCTCCTCAACAAGGGGTAGCAAGGTAACAAAGCACATTCTGTTGGTAATCCTTCTCTTCATCACCACCCCCTGCCGTCGCTCCCATCACACCGAGAGAGCTATTGGCTGGTGACCAGTAGGTTACTAGCTGTCTGTAGAATGTGACAGAGTCAATAGACTGGGGAAACCTTGAGCAGATGTTACCTGGCCCTATGCCTATCAGTGACCACGGGGATGGTAATTCTTTCTCTGTGGTAGACATGGGAGATTTGAGCCCACGCCCAGGAAGGTGATTCCTGCCTGCTTAAAAATGTCATACACGTTTCTTTATTTATTTATTTTCCTCCCTTTCCCCCCCTTTCTCTTTCACACCAAGGCTTGGGCCAGCAACCGGCCGGTTCAGCGCGCCCGGTGCAACCACGGCTGGATCGGCCCAGGGGAGGTGAACCGGAAAACCGGTTTTCAACTTTTCAGGAAAAGAACTGAAAAATGCTTCTTTTTTTTCTTTTTTTTTTTCTGCAGATCCCAACTGCGCTCTTTGAGATCTGTCGAAATCCGCATTAAAATTTTGAAGGCAAGATGTTTTTTCGGGGGTTTCCCAGGGGTGGAGGGAGGAATTATTGGGGTGGGTTCAGAGAGGTATGCCTTTGACGTAGAAGGGCCAAGCTAAAAAGCTTTCTTTTCTGACAACCACGTGGCCCATGAATATGAGTTCAGCACCATTGGGGTCATGGATATCATATCTAGATGAAGGCACGGGACCCAACAGGCCGAAGAACATATGCTGACGAGAGGACCTTGCCCAAACTTTTAGATATTGCATACTATTGCGCTCGACAGCAGAAAGGTATGGGTTCAGGTTTCAGCTCATGCAGGCTGAGCGTTTTCTGTTTGTTTTTCTCAAGGAAAGTGTCTTACCTGCCCGTCTGTCCAGATACATGTAGTCCATTCTTGGGCTTGCACCTCGGACAGCACTGCTACTCTCACTTTACGAAACCCAAACCCATAGCTTGTCGCCCAGAGCGCACGAACGTCGAAAGAAAGATACAATCTCAGCAAGCCATTGCTGAAACATCGTCCTGGTTGTGAGTGGCCAATTGCACGGACCTGCAAATCATGTCTGGTTCGTGGGCCATTGGAGCACACGTTGCAAAAATGATGAATTGGGGCCTATTGGACCCCTAATCTTAAAAAAAGTGTGTGGTGGTTCTCTGCTGCTGATCTGCAAAAGTCAGCGGCAGAGATCCTCCGGCCATTTTTTTTTTAACAAATGGGGTCCAAAAGGCCCCGTTTTTTCAAAGAAAAGGGAGGCAGTGGTCTTGGCAATCACGGGGATGCCCGTGACTCCCCGGTAGCCCCCCACCCAAGTGGGATGCGCTGGGTTGAACCAGGGCCCTGCCAGGCCGGAGGACCGCCCGGTCCGACCGCCAGGCTCCCGGTCGGGGGAAACCCCCCCCGTCCATCCGGGGACCAACACTGTTTCATACACGTTTCAAAGGCAGTATATATTCTTCAAAATCGACCTTTGGTTTCATCAGGTCATGCCGATATGGCAGTTGTGCAGCTGCACAACAAGAACTTATACCTTGATCGTGCAAGTTGTGCAAGGAAAATGAGAGATATCGAGATGACAGAATCCAGATAGCACAATCACATTGAAAGCAAGAAAGTCCCACAGTGTCCAGAAAGCAGCATTGCACCAATATGACACCAATGGAGAATCGAAACACTGAAACCGAATGTCAATGAGAGCTTACTCTCGTCCCCACCAACATACGTATCCAGGCACTATCTCCCAACTTCGCGCTCGGTGCCCAGGCTACTCCCTACACAGCTACTTCCTGCCTACGAATTGACAATGCAACTGTTGACGTCAGCAGCCACCAAAGTACTTGAAGATGTCGACCAATGCAAACCATCGCCAATACCAGGTATGTGCCCTCACATCATCATCCTCATCTCTCCCACTCTCTCCCTGTCCTTGACTTCCTCCCACGTCTTCTCCCTCATGCACGAAGACCACCAGCACCTCCACTGGCTGTCCAAGCCAAGCCCTGGCTATGTAGGGCTGGCTATGGCGCTGCCCTCAGCAGCACCCTCCCTTCTTCCAGAGCCCGCGCGCACTGCCTGGCAACTAGCGCTCGCGCACAGCGCACAGCCAGCGAGCACACGCTCAAGCAACGCTGCCGCATGCACTGCCTAGTGCCCGAATGAGCCCACCAGTGGCGAGCTCTTTCCTTTATGGAATGTGCTCGCCCAGTTTGCTGTCTGGCTGGGCCTCGCGAGTTTCCAGTAGCTTCCGATCGGGCCAAAGTGTCTGCGCCAAATTGGTTAGGCATGCCCAACCACCCAGGAGTAAACGTGAGGTTCTCCCTGCTTCGCCTGCGCTGCTGGAAGAGCCTAGAAGGCTCATGAATTATTTCTGACTCTCACGAGTACGGAGGATGTAACCAACTGGCGCATGGCAACTGTCTGGCGCCCACCAAACTTTGCCAAAATTGACGAACTCAGGCCATGTTGAAATTCAGGGGCCCGCCTTCACTTAGAGCCGGCTCATGCTTGCTGAAAGGGCCCTACCGGGGCATGCCGAGGAGCTAACTCGTAACAAGGCCTCGCCGAAGATCCATGCCCACATGGGGGTTCCAACAGGGCTCTGCTTGGGCCCCTCAGCCTGGTCTCCTAGCCCTATAAACAGGCATTTGCACATATTTGCAGGCCCGCCTTCACTTAGGGCGGGCACGGCACTTTCACAGATTACCTCATCCCTGCATTTGTTATAAGCCTCTTGCAGACCTCTCAAGTCACAAAGGGCTTGGCTGTGTCGAAGGGTGATTACCTCATCCCTGCATTTGTTATAGACCTCTTGCAGACCTCTCAAGTCACCCTCCACATTTGCGATAGCTCCCTTGTCTGCCATCACTTGTGCGAGCCTCTGGTTACCCTCTGCGAGCCGTCTCTCTTCATTTACCAACTTTCTGAAGCGAAGGTTGTCCTCAATTTCACGTTTTAAAAGGACCTGATCCTGAACCGCTGTTTCTCTCTCCTTTATCTTCTCCAATATCGCTTCAATATCTTTCTCCAGCTGCAGTTGCAGTTCAGCACAAGCTGCCATCCTATCGATGGTTTCCTTCAATTTGACATCCTTGTTCCCAAGCACATATCTGCGTTCAATGGACAAGAAACGATTAATCTGCGTTCAATTGACAAGAAACGATTAATCCCCGAATGCCTCAGGACATAATCCTTTTGCTTTGCCTTCTGTTTGCTAGGGTGCTAGACCTCTGAGGCGCTAGGGCTGGATGAGGGAAAGTGGGAGAGAGAGTGAGAGCAAGAGTTGTAGCCAAAGCTATAAGAGTGAAGTACGCACACACACACACACACACACACACACACACATGGCCAGCCTTGTACGCGATAGGCACAGTAAGAGAGGAACTGCAAAAACAAAGAAAATGGGAGGCCTCCCAATGTTAGTTGATGAAAACATAATCAAGAAAACGATATAACGGATTTATTGTGTCTCGTATTGGTTTTACTGTTGGGTTGACCCATGTCAAGTGTGTTGCATTGCTTGTATAAAGGTGAGATTCCTTGCTTCAAGTTGCTTGTATAAAGGTAAGATTCCTGTGGTTTTGGATAGATACTGACTTTACAAGCAAAACTGTTTCATTGGTGGATTGGCTCATCTTAAGCATGCTTCATTGTCTGCAATAGAGGTAAAATTGCTTTGACTTTGGATCTACTCATCTGGGTGGAATAGGGGAAGTTGTGGTGATAATTCGTAACACAC